GCCCTATAGTGTTTTAATTTCCTATATTTTCCTGCTTGTTTTCTTAGTCCTTCAATGACTATTTACTTAGATTCTCCAAACAATTATTAATCAATCTAATTAAAGTAGAAAAGACTGGTAGAAATTTTCATTAAAGAGCCAGATTGCTTCCTGGTTCACTTGCTGAAGATACTATAACCCTTCCCTTATCCAAATCATTTTCTGTCAAGAACTGATCTAACACTAACTCATGGCATTTATGAAGGGTTTCCAATTAAGATTAATCGACAAATCCATGAAGAACCCAAGCACGTGCCCCAGTGGTGGGATTCAAAAATTTTTTACTACCGGTTCTGTGGGCGTGGCTTGGTGGGCATGGCAAGGGAAGGATACTGTAAAATCTCCAGTCAGAAGTGGCATTTGCCCATTCTCTGAATTACTCAAAATTTCAGCTACCGGTTCTCCAGAACTGGTCGGAACCTGCTGAATACCACCTCTGATGTGCCCACCTCACTGCTGCTAAAAGATAGAAGTTTCAGGGGATAGAACAGGGGGAAAAAAAACAAGAAGTTGAGACCTCCAGTGAAGGGAGAAAATCCTTCAACACTCTAGTCAGGGTTCAGAAAATCAGCCAAGGAAAAAAAATTGACAAGGAATAGGCACAGAGATTCCAGCTGGCAGAAATGCAGAGGGCATGGAAGCACAGGAATTCTGGCTATGGAGGCTGGAGGGCTACAGAAACCACAGTGATCATAGTAGTGACCTTGGAAGTCTAGAAGATCATGGTGTTGGCTTTGGGGATTGTGAAGGGTGTGGAGGCCTTGAGATACATCCAAGTAGGACCAGAGTGTTTTCTTCTTTCTTTTTTTCCTCTCTTCCTCTACAGAGCTTGTTTCAACTGAGTCCGTAGCCATCAGAGAAGATTGAGCCCCTTGTGGGTTGGTTGGGGTGGATTTGCAGGGCCTTGGGTTTGATTGTTTTGTCTTGTGGTTGGGTACATTGATTATGTGTCTTTGGGCCTGGGAGAAGGATGTCAGCAGTGGGAGTGGACTGTGGTTGCCGAGAGAACAGATGGGACCACATCAATGGTGCCTGGCAGAGGAAGATATGCTGGGATTCTGAGGTAGGTTGCACTCTGCAACACCAGGTCTTCTGTTTCAAAGTGGTCCTGCTGTCCAGCTCTTGCATTCTACCCTTTCTGCCAGACACCCAGATCCTTGAACGTTTGGCTTCTGCTTTTGAATACCGGGTCAGTGTGTAACAAGGTTGCCCTAATTTATGATTCTTATTTTAGAGGAGGGCACCAACCTGGCATGTCTTATTAAGACCTGGTTGGACCCAGGAGGTGGGGTTCTCCTCTAGGAAATATGCCCACTTAGATTTTTTTTTTTTTTTTGCAACAAACCAAGAGACCCAGAAGGGGAGTAGAGGTAATTGTTGTCATCCAGGAGTTGATATGGCTCTTCACGGACTTTCTTCCTTTTTATTCCTCTCTGCCATCATTTTTCCTTTTCTTGTGCTTTTTTTAATGTTTTCTGTATTTTTAAAAATATTTTAACAGTTTTAAATTGCCATGAGTTGGTAGGAGTCAAGTGTCATATACATTTAACAGATTATTATTATGGTTGGTCTCACAGTCAGCAAGATGTTTAGCCTGGATTTGGCTTTTTTGCTATCGAATCCTTCCAGAGGATCTGGGATAGGCAGATGTTGTTTAATAAATACTAAAGCTTTCATCACAGGATTTAAGTTATTCCAAATAAAGCTGCCTTTTGCAATTGCCTGATGGTAATTTTGTCAATGCCAATGGTATTAAAGGATAGTTTTCAGATATTTTGGAATTGCACCCAAAGTGGCTTATTAATTATTATTAATCGAAAGCGATGGAGGTAGAAATAGAATTGAATTTGAGGGTTTATGATGTATTCGTAGTGCAAGAATGAGAGGTTAGACCTGCTGTTATTATAAAAGATGAATAAAATATTACTTCGAGCACACGTTTTTATTTTGTTAAAAAGGCTTAACTTTTTAAAAAAGATTGTACATTGAATATTTTTTGTGAAATAATAAATTTTAGATAGAGGATGTTACAAATATGATCCAGAGGAATAGTATCTTCCTTATAAAATAATTGCAAAATAATTGGCTCATTAAATATATCTACTTAGGTTTAGGTAACAGAATTGACAGACCAATTATGACATGGTATTCCAATCCTTTGGTGTTGATTGATTTTAGTTCAGGATTGGTCTGTTGGGTATGGCTCAGAGGTTCAATCTAGCTATGATAACTGTGGGGATATTCCAATTAGGAACAACATATATTTCTTGCCATAAATATAATTTAGCTTTTTGTTTCATGAGATATTCCAAGTTTGGGTATTCCTGTAGGGCTTTTTCCTTCTCATGGATAGATTACCGGCTAGCAATTGTTGGATTTAAGTAATTAAATATTTTCAGTCAAAAAGGCTTATAGAGTCTAGTGTCCTAGAAGCTTTGGAAAAGCTCTAAAGTTGGTACTGTCAATGATCTTGTCATTCTTTTCTATTAGAAGTTGGGAATAAGAATCAGTAGGATATTCACACAACTGCTTCCAAACATCTCTGATACGATTCTGAATTACCTCTATAATATCTAATGTAATGTAAGGTAATGTGATATCTGCAGTAACTGAAGCAATTGAATAGTAACAGCCTTAATCAGGTTATTAATAAGATAGAATCCATGCATGAACTGAAGTAACAAGGAAATAGTTCTGAACTATGAAGGGGTTAAAAATGTCTCTTTTCTCCATGAACTCAAATTTGAAATTTTGAATGATCTGTGATGCTTTTGATTACTTTTCTTTTTCAAATTAGATGTACTGTTGTTAAAAAATAAATTTCAGAAATGTTCAGCAACATGTCTTGTGCAGTTAAATTAGCTGTGGTTAGAAGACTTTGGTAAATCTTTATGGATATCTAAAAAATTTCATGTTTTCATCAAAATAATAAAAGCAGCATTGTACCTGTATTTAAAACAAAGTTACAGTGGCACTGAAAAAAGCGATTTATGACCGGGGTGGGATTCTACCAGTTTGTACCTATTTGCTAGAACCGGTTCTTAACATTCTAAGCAGTTCGGAGAACCAGTTGTTAGAAAAAATTACTGGCCTAATCCTGTAAGGAAGGCAGGAAGGAAACATTCTGGTGTTGCTTAGAGAAACTGCCTCTCCGTTAACCCTTATTTCGTTCTTGGCAGGACTAGACTTCCTGTTTCAGGAACTTCTCTGGAGTTTTTTTCCTTTCCTTTGCTGGTACTTTGCTTGTGTGGAGTGACCATTCAAAGTTACAATGGCACTGAAAAAAAGTGACTTGTGACCATTTTTCACACTAATGACTGTTGCAGCATCCCCACAGTCATGAGAGGCCAGGCAAGGAGATGGTGCCTCGATGTGAGTGATATTGAGTTGACCACGCCCAGCCAATAACATGACCACCAAGCCACATCCACCCAGTCACATGACTACCAAGCCACACCCACCAACTAAGCCACGCCCACAGAACCGGTTTTTAAAAATTTTGAACCCCACCCCTGCTTATGACTGTTTTCTACACTTAAAATCGTTGTAGCATCATGCAATCAAAATTCAGATGCTTGGCAACTGAAACATATTTATGATGGTTGCAGTGTTCTGTGGTCATGTGATCATCCTTTGTGATCTTCTGACAAGCAAAATCAGTGGGGAAAGCCAGATTCATGTAACAACCATGTGAATAACTTAACAACTACAGTGATTCACTTAACAATTGGGGCAATAAAGATTATAAAATGGGCCAAAACTCACTTAACAAATGTCTCACTTAGCAACATAAATTTTGGGCTCAATTGTGATTGTAAGTCGAAGATTACACTGTTCTGATCCCAACCCAACTAAGATGTCAAAAGGCTTGTTACTAGTTATTCAGATACAGAATCACCAAGAGATTCCAGAGTTGCAGGCAAACTTGGAAGATGTCATACCACTTATATATGGTTGCCCAGAATAGTATCTGGCCAGATGAACTTAGTCACCATTAGCTGAATCTGATTAAAGTTTTAATGTTACCATAAAGGCCTCATTTAAAGAGGCAGTTATGCCTTTTAGCATGTGTTACATCTCTCAGATTGGTAACTGCTAAATTGACGTGTAAACTTGTTTCAACAAGATGGTTTAGAAAGTTCTGGCCTTTCTAATTCACACAGCCCCTGGAAAGTCATTATCTGGACTCCTTGTTCAGTTTCACAATCGCTCTGTAAGCTGATAAACAGCGTTCATTTAGAAATTGTTAGGGTTAATTGTTAGAGGTACTGTGATTTTTTTTAGTACTATGAACTTGTATCTTGTCTGAGCATGGCATCCTTGTAGACACTTGCTATTCAAAGTGGGAGCTTTTGATGGCATATCTGAAGATTTCATCCCATCTCCTTTACTATTTAACATCTTAAAACACCGTTCCAATATGTGAATGAATTGGGAGTTTGGTGCTGGGCAATATCAATATGTGGATGATACCCCAAATTAGTTCTCCTGAAAGCCTACCCGTTAGTGATAATGGGCTGATAGTTAATAAACTGAAATGAAATTTAAACAAGTGTTGAATTGTTTGCTGAGTGTAGCGGGTAATAAATTTAGAGACATGGTAGATATTTTGTTCTAGATGGTGTTATTTTTCTGCAGATGGAAAAATTACACAGTTTTGAACTGTTTCTTCATTCAAGACATGCTCTGTATCTCAGATTATACCAGTTGTTAGAGGTACTTTTCATCCCCTTCAGCTGATATATCAGATATACTAGTTTATATATAAAAAAATGATGCTAGAGTAATGGTGCATAATCTTTAAGGCAATTACCATAATGTACTAAATGCTGGATTGTTTTTATATGTAGTTTAGAAAGCTATAATACTACTGGTAGCACAGGAATGCAAGGTAGAAATAATAAATATGTATATTATACAAAACAATTTTGTTTCCATTTTTTCATTTTTTTAATTTGCAGTTGAGTGATGATTATAGCGTGATTGGTCGTTCGTTATTTAAAAAAGAAACAAACATCCAAATGTTTGTGGGGTTGAAGGTCAAGCTGTCTACAGGAGAAGAAGGTGTAATAGAAGGCGGCTTTGGACAAAGTGGAAAATTTAAAGTCCGTATTTTGCGTAAGTATTTTTTGCCACTTTTCTACATTGAGAAGAAATTTAGATTCTTGTGCATGTAGGAATATAATGTAGTAGATAGCGTGTGATTAATTTCAAAAGAAACTTCTAGGTTGGTAAGCTTATGTCAGGCACTTACTAACACAGTGAAAAGCAGCCTGGCACAATTTCTCAGTGTAGTTTCTTTTAGGAAGAAAGTATTATTCCATTTATGTATTGCAGGCCATGATTTAAAGAGTTCAGGCAGATACATCTGCGAAAACCACAGTGGCACCAAATTGACAGTACACACTCAATCATATAATCACACAAATGTCACGATTATATAGAGAAGAAAGTAATCTCCCCCCTTCCACTATGGAATTGATAACTTGGGATTGGACTATTAAAGCTGCACTCTCATCCAGCATCTAGATCCCTGCCAGTGGCAGGTGGGAGAAGACAGTGAAGGTCAGCGGTAGGCAATAAGAGTAGACCATAGAGGTCAGGATGGCCAAAAGGGATGATGGTGGTAGTGGTGTGTTGAAGTGAAGTTAACATGGCAGAGCAGGAGAAACATGAGGTCCTCGCCTAATAATGTTGCAGTCCTGGCCTAATGACAGCAACTGGGGCTACTAGAACTGTCATTGCTAACCAGTGCAGTCAGGTGATATTTAACTTTCAATGATGTAAATTCCAATCTCAGGGTAATTACGGAGGAATACCTATACTTTATACACTGCTATAATCTGTTTTTATTTCTGCAAAGACTTAAAAGTATATGTATGAACTGTGTTCAAATAAAAGTGCAACATTCTGGAACATCAACATATGGCTTTGATTATTTTTCCAATCAATTAGAAAACAAATAGTGGAACCTCTTTTGTAAATATAAAATCATCTCAAAATTATTTAATAAATATAATACTGTTAGTTCCTGAAATACTAAAGTAAAATTGAGAACATAGGAAATATTTTGAAGCAAGTGTCGTTTTGCCAAGAGATTCAAACGTAAGCACACGATGCTGATTAGAGCATTGACTGTAAATGTGCATTGCGAAGGCATTTTAATTTTGTATACAATATATTTATTTATGAAATAATTTATTTTCATATGTCAATCAGAAATGTAGATAAGCTTTGAGGATCTCAATGCCATTCAATCATGCTATTTTCGTCTTTCTTCATGATTCATTTATTTTTCCTTTATATATTTAGAATAACGAGTTGGAAGGTACCTTGGAGGTCTTCTAGTCCAATCCCCTGCTTAGGCAGGAAACCCTACACCACTTCAGACAAATGGTTATCTAATCTCTTTTTAAAAACTTCCAGTGTTGGAGCATTTACAACTTCTGGAGGCAAATTGTTCCACTGATTAATTGTTCTAACTGTCAGTAAATTTCTCTTAGTTCTAAGTTGCTTCTCTTCTTGATTAGTTTCCACCCATTGCTTCTTGTTCTACCCTCCGGTGCTTTGGAGAATAGTTTGACTCCCTCTTCTTTGTGGCAGCCTCTGAGATATCGGAATACTGCTATCATGGCATTCCTAGTTCTTCTTTTCATAAAACTAGACCTATCCAGTTCCAGCAACCGTTCTTTATATGTTTTAGCTTCCAGTACTCTAATCATCTTTGTTGCTCTTCTCTGTATTCTTTCTAGAGTTTCAACATCTTTTTTTATATTGTGGTGACCAAAATTGGATGCAGTATTTCAAGTGTGGCCTTACCAAGGCATTAGAAAGTGGTACTGGCACTTCATGTGATCTTGATTCTATCCCTCTGTTTATGCAGCCTAGAACTGTGTTGGCTTTTTTGGCAGCTGCAGCATGCTGCTGGCTCATATTTAAGTGATTGTCTGCTAGGACTCCAAGATCCCTCTCACAGTCACCACTATTGAGCAAGGTACCACATATACTGTACCTGTGCATTTTGTTTTTCTTGCCTAAATGTAGAATCTTACTTTTTTCACCATTGAATTTCATTTTGTTAGATAGCACCCATGTTCAAGTCTGTCAAGATCCTTCTGTATCTTAAGCCCATCTTCCAGAGTGTTGGCTATTCCTGTTAGCTTGGTGTCGTCTGCAAATTTGATGAGTTCCCCATCTATCCCATTGTCCAAATCATTGATGAATATGTTGAAGAGTACTGGGCCTAAAACAGAGCCTTGGGGTACACCACTGCATACCTCCCTCCATGTAGATACAGTTCCATTGAAGACTACACATTGAGTAAGGTTGGTCAGCAAGTTACGAATCCATTTGCTGTGATGCTGTCTAACTCATGTTTTTTCTATTTTATCAAATAGTAGGTTATGGTCTTCTGAAAATTTGTTTCATAATTTAAGAGCATAACAGTGTGCTGCTGGACTGGCCCCGTGGCCCATTCTCTTTCATTCTCCACATTACCAGATCACTTCAGTTGTATTTCTTTTATGTTGGATCACTCACTTTTGTGAGTGATCCAATTTATTATTTTTGTTTTATAACATTAACTTATTGAACAATTTGCCATCGTTGCATTCAGCTTCCCTGAACTATCTATCCATTCTTTGCTTGTCCTCTCCATTCATTCCCTCATTGTCAGTAAACATTCTACCAATATAAATTCATCTTCTTGCTCTAGTTTTGGGGCATGCATGCATAAATGTGCAACCATGCACTGCATTTTCTTTGTTTATCACAATAATACTTAGTTTTTAATACTTTACTTTTCAGATCTATGTTTCTTGTTCCATTTATAATCTAACACATTTGCTTTGCAAAGTGAGATGGGCAACATATAAATTAATTAAATAAATAAAGATGGATAATTTGTTGGTTTCTCTGCTACAGAATCACCTGACGTCATCTGCAAAAAAAAATGCTTATTCATGTCCTGACTAATGTACCTCAAACTTTTGGAATAATTAGGTTGAATTTTGTACTCTTTTAAATTAATGTTAAATGGTTTTAAAAACTGAAAGAAATTTATTTTGACTTTAGGATGCATTTAATATAGTAACAGAAAATAATTTATTTACCTGACATGTCAGGTATTGTTTCATAATAAATGCTTTCAGTTTCCTTGATGATTGAAACTTAATTTAGTAATCAGTATATTAATTCTTAGGGTTTGGGTTTTCATACTGCTGCAATAGTTTAGTCTGAAATTCATGCAATATTGTTTTCATAAAAAAATTAAAAAGTCTATAATATAGAAATATTTATGTAATATTAATACTATGGATACTTAGCAATGGGAGATAATTATTATACAACATTGCAATGAGAAATCTATACTAGCTTGTAACAGTAGTTGATATATGTTTTTGTCGACATTGTACTGATTTTCTTTTAAATGGGCAGCAAGAAAGTGGATAGCTTATTTTATGTGGGAGATAACCTTTAGGAATTCCAATTAATAAGGAGATTTAACATTCTAGTCAGTGAGCTGTGCAGTTTTATGTAGATTATGAGAATTAACATCTAAACTTACTTTGGTTTTAACAAAGAGATTTTATATTGGCAGTTAATGTCTTGTTCAGTAGAACCTTAGCCAAAGCAAATATTTTTCAAATAACAAAAACAGTAATGTTGTATTTGAGTTTTATTATATTGGAGATGGCATGTTCTCATATCAATGATCCTTGACATCATCTGATAATATACTATGATTGTCTCTATAACTTATACTAAACTTTCCTCCTCTCCTCTCCCCTCCCCCTCTCCTTCCCTCCCTCCCTCCCTCCCTTCTTCCCTCCCTTCCCCTCATTTTGATAGGATTGTTCAATATTACACTAGAGTTAAACAATAAAATATACATTTGCCGTTCTCCTTTCATTAAACGGCTTGTGGAATGAATAATAATTTTGTACAACAAATTTCTTCTCACCCATCTTCTTACTGAAAACAAGCTTCCATGTTTTTCTCTCCATTATATAGCAACAGTAATGTAAATAAGACAGTTTGCAAAATCAAAACATTATGCTCTGTGGAAAATAAAAAGCATGTTAAGAAGACTGCTAAACGATTCTGTTTCTTTAAGAGCAACCAACATTTCATATGGAGAATAGTAATGTTTTTGACGTTGTTTAAGTCAAATATAGTTCACATTCCACAGTTAGACCAGTGTTGCTTTTTTTATATGTTTGTATCCTGTTTGTGGGTTTTTAAAAAAGTTATTTAATTAAGTCTAGCTATTCCCTTTTCTGTTTTTTCTCTTTGTCTCTTTTGATTTTTTTCCATAAAAGTTAAGTTTCATAAAAATGTACTCATGTAGCCATTAAAAGCTAGTTTAGAAAATTCTTAAGAACTGCTGAAGGTATCTTAAGGATGCCTATGTAATACACCTCCTATTTCTGAGACAACTGGAAAGTTTAATTTGTTGAAAGTGACCTAACAGTAAGAGATACAAAAACAAAAACCACCTGGATATATGTGTGTATTTGAGTTCTTAGAGGCAGTTGCAAAGAAAATAAAATAAAAAGAAAGAAATTGAGGCAATATGAATAAATTACTTACTATATGTGAATAGAATGCACAAAAAGGAAGCAAAAAATCAGGAAAAATCCGATAGTACCTTTTCCAACTAACAGATTTATTAAAAGGTGTATGCTTATGAAAGCTTATGCTTTGTAATAAAACTTGCTACCTGAAAAAGGTGTTAACTGAATTCTTTTTTTTACCACCATAGACTAATTCAGCTTTTCTTCTACTGTGTTTGTAAAAAGAAAAAAGTTATAGTCAACTTGTTATAAAAGTGTTTTGGATAATAAGTCATAATAATATTAGAAGTATATTTGCTTTCAGCTAGCTTATTCACATAATCAGATTGTAATCCTAAATATGCTTTTCTGGGTGAGTCTTATTTTATTTTACAGAGTTTATTTCTGAGTGGATATATACAATTTTTCTAAAACTTGCATTTTCAAAATAGAAACAACCCTGGAATCTTAATGCTGAAAGAGAAATTTTGTACTGTGTGAGCAATGTCTGGAATTTAAAAAATTTGCAGAGAATTGGATAGATTCTTTGGTTGTCAAAGAATG